GTGACTGATAATGTGGCACAATTACTCCAAGCCTCCTTTCTTTCAAGAGTCTTATTGATTCAGCACATTCAATTTCTTAGAAAACTAAACTGGTGTGCAAAATCTCCCCTTTCTGCATCTTAATTTTAAACATGAATGCAAAGGATGGTTTGATTAAGTTTTTGTCACTGGTTAGTTAGAATCACATTTGCCAAGAAACAATTAGGGCCAATTTATGGGCGCTCACTGGTGTTTATTTGAAAAGCTGTCACCAGGAAGATTATGGGCATTAAACCAACACAGAGTCTACAGAGACACATTTGCATGCAGCCCTCTATTAAGCCAACGGGGTCTCTCTGCTGCAATGATGTTGCACAAAGGATGCCTTGAAGTTAAAAAGCACCAGCTGCAGCACGGTTCCTTTTTACAAGATGGGATGTCTTCATCTAATTAGTCCAATCGATGTTTTTTCAGATTGATCAGCATAAGACTTGCAGAAAGCATTTTGGAACCCAACCTATCTTGCTTAGCGTTATACTAACCACAGGAACAGAAAGAACTTCTTGTCATTTCTGGAAATGATTTAAAAATTAAAATATAAATGATCCAAGTTATTTTGTGAAGCATATCTGCCTTTAAAAGTACAGTTCTTTGTTGTGGTCATGTTTATTGTCAGACAGAAAGAGGCGAAGAGACATCTAGTAACCAGAAAAAACTCAAGTAAACATTATAATGACTCTAAGATCCTTATGGGTAATCACAAACAAAGCCACCAAAATCTTACTTTATAAGACAAATTTATCATCCTAGTGTCTCCTAACATCTGCTCAAATGCAAAGCTTGCATGTGAAGTTTGGCTCATGCATCTGCACTATACAACCTGACAGGTCTCTCTTCAGACATCCAGAGTTTTGTGACTTAACAAAATTCCTATTCAAAACATTGCACCAAATACACGGTCTTCTTCTGCTTGTGTTTTTTTTTTTTTTTTTGTTAAGAACTGCAGCTGGCCATCTTCCTTTTGTCTGATATAAAAGCATCCCCGAAGCATGATACTGCCAACACTATATTTTGCCCTGGGAATGTTATGCTTGTGGGTGACGTTCCTGTAATAGATTCCACCACACTTACAGCATTGCCTGTCAGCATTAAAATCACAGTGAGAAGAGCATCTGCTTCTACAGTTCAGGACTTATTTCAACAATGGCGTTCAACTCAGAGTTACCATGGGCTCTAGAGTGAAACTGTTTACCAATTAAATAGTCTAACAATTAGCTTGTTAGCCCTGTGTTTTATTTATGGATTTGAAGGTAAATAGGACTTAATGTCTGGGGTGGTGGTGGGTGTTTGGGTGGAGTGGACGTTGTGAAAAATATGTATCCTTTCTTTCTACTTCACTTGTATGCAGTACTTTGCATTTGTTTACCATGTAATATCCAATTAAAATATTATTTGTATTATATAATTTGTGGTTGTATCATGACAAAATGTGAGAAAGTTTAAGAGATGTAAATACATTACACTGCACCGGAAAACTATATATTTAAAAAAACAACCCTGCTCTAAATGTCTTCTGTGGTTATTAATGACGGAGAAACAGAATGTTGCATTCATTACAGAAATGTAAACAAGCTACTGCAGCTATTTAATTTGCAATCAGAAAGAGATACTGCCAGCATCAGAGGCTGTGCTTATTCACTGCACATCTGTTGGACAAGTCACAGGGCCCGATGTATGCTGATTACACTTTTTGTTCACAAGTCCGTCATCATTGTCAGCTCTGACTGTGCTTATGTGGGTGAGTATGTCTGTGTGCACAAGTCTATGATTTAGCAAACATGTTCTGATGAAAAAAATGCTAGCTACTTTACATTAGCACCCACAGACCTGTGCCATCTGGGGTTGGATTTCCAGAGTTTAGAGGAACTGGTCAATGGTCAGAATGAAGAATTTTAAGCAAACAGCAGTTATGTGGACTCAGACGTTAGCCTCTGTCTGACTCCAATCTGCTCCTGCTGATGCTACAGTTATTCCCCTGATAAAGTCCCTCCACTCTCAACATGCTGTAGGCCACACTCATCAGGCTGTTTGTGGAGCATAAGGATGGGGCCGCATCATAAGACGAAGGGCAAGAGTGGAAATAAGAAAAGATAAAGACTCAAGGCGAGCAATCAGAAGGAGAGAAACGGCAATGGGATCTAACATCTTTCTTTCCACATGAGTGGAAGTGCATAGTCAAGGAAAAGTGTTTGGCTAGCAAAAAAAATACACAGCCATATACATTTTACACAGCATATTAAAATGCAGAGAGGTTATTTCTTTCATTTTCCTTCAAACTCATGTAATTTTGCAGGAGCAAAACAAAACTATGCAACTCCATAAATTCACAAAATGCACATTCGCTCCCCCTGCCTTCCCTCCATCTTCTCTGGAGGCCAAACTATTTCACTTCAGCGGTAAAATGCACATACGTTTGGCAAACACATTTCTTAAGTCCCTAAATATCTAAATTTACATTTGCTTTATGTCTGCTCATTTAAATTTTAAAAGCTCAAATGCTAGCAGAGCAGACGGTGCGAATATGTAAAATAATTTTGAAACGGCTATATTTGTAAATGGCATAAAACGACTTCCTCAAAACATTGCTTTAACTCCTCAGTCTATAGGTAAAATGAACCAAGCCGAATGGAAAACACACAAAAAACAGCATCAACTAAAAGGCTCATATAACTCCGGTTGTGTATACAAAATTTATCTAGCATAGATGTTACTGTTAGTGCACAAGAAAAAGAAGACATCTACCGAAGAGTTCAGCTAAATCCATTCTAATAAATCAGGAGGTTAATGCCTACAAGAGGAATCTGATTAGTTTCTTATGTAGCCAATGCAGAAGTCAGTGAGTGAACATTCTGAAGATACATTTGAAAATAAGATTACAACAGAAAACTTTAAAAGCAAGCATCTGAGTATGAAGGATTCAACAATGGCTAGAACAGCAGACTTGCATTTCCATGACAAAGGTTTTGTAAGTTTAACCCGCATGCATGTTATTCACCAACAGACCTGAGACCCATAAGAATGACTAAACTACAGCAGTTTCCACCCACTAAAGGAGGATTCATGGATACATATTGATCATTGTATATATATATAAAAAATCAAGAGTCAAAACTGAAATTACGCTGCTTTACACAGCAGACTGTGTAATGTAAATTGAGAGTAATGAACCAGTCAGAACAATGTAACTTTTATATGAATTTTTTTTAATAGACAATTATGCAGTTTAATTCATACACTTGCAAAATTTACAGAGATGTTACTGATTTTTTTTTTCTAAAATGTTTAATATAAAATATAACAGAAATACAGTAATCTACCCTTAAAACTCTGACCGAATAATTTCAGAATACATGATAAAAGTTAGTTAAGCCCAAAATAATTTGTGTACCTCTCAGCTTTAGGTTTAAAGGAATCTTTTAGTTTTACTAAACTGTTTCTTCTGACTGTCAATAATGTTTTGGATAGGCCCAGCCAGAGTCCTGACAAGAATCTGAAAATTAATCTATAGAGGGAGCTAAAGATCAGGATGGTTTCAAGGTCTTTCAACCTCAACGACTTGGAGTTTTTCTAAAAAGATGTTTCCAGTGGAAACATGCAAATAGCTGGTTGGAAATTGTAAAAACATGGGTTTAACTGCTGTAATGGTCAGACAGGTTTTTCCAATGATTACTGCACAGGGTCTAAATAATTTTTGGCATGGTAATTTATAATAAACTAAAAATAAAACTAAGTGCTTTTTTTCCAGGTCTGATTTTATTTTATTTTTTCAGATAAATAATTTTAAATCTAAATCTCCAAGGGTGGCATTTAAATTTACATGCCGCCCTTCCAACCATCCTCTCACTGGCTTTAGCATCTGTCATGCCTGTTGGAACGGAAACAACTGTTGATGGTTAAAATGCCATTTTAACCATTTAAAATGCCACTGTAGCTACTGTAGGGCACGTAGTGAATTGTCTCCAGTCAGAAAAAAACATATTTACCTTTATGTTATTTAAATGTAAATAATCCATTCTCTATCCTACAAGTTTACATTTGCAAGTTTTTACAGTTAATTCAATAAGACTGAATGCCTTTTTACTCAATATAAGATTAAAAATGATCAGGATTATGATCTGCTGTCATCTGTACCAAAAGAACACAATGTCCTAGCATTAGAAAATATCAGGACCTTCCACCATTATAATGGTAAGGGTGGCCAAAATATTCATATTCGTTTAAAGTAATTAAAAGAGACAGAGACTTATTTGGCAGCAGATGCTAGTTTCATACTTTCGTTCTTTTAGGTGAAACTTAACACAGGACCTGATATTTCTACTATTATCTGAAAACAATTAGCTTTTAAAGGTACTGAACAACTTCCAGCTTAAGACAGTTGTGTTTGTTTGGTTTTTATTATTTCAGACTTTGCACTGTGAGGACGAGATAAATAACAAGCCCAGCTGAAACTGTTTTGGAGCTCCTTCATCTTGTGACTCATGTTCAGACTGGTTAGGCTTCACTGTTAATTTTCCCACCGTCAGCAATTATTACAGCAGACGGGAGCAGGAGACTGTGAGGATAAGCCCCACGAAGATGGGGTTGTTCTAAGAGATACAGTGAGGGATTTTATCACCCACATGCATATTAAACACCTGATCTCACTTTCCATTTCAATCCCTACAAGTAATGTAATATGGGCTTTTTAGTAATTGGAAAAAATCAGGAATCCAAATGATATTTTGACCAAAGTATCTTATATTTTAGTGAGGCTTCAGGAAATTATGTCAACAGTTCTTAAAATGGTATAATCTACATTATTTAATGATTAGCAGTGATTAAAAAAAAGAAACTAAATTGTTTCTGATCCTGGTGTATGATATATGCGGGGTTCTAATTATCCATGAAACCACCTTCATTTTACCACCCACTTTCAGCAATAACCTCACAAGTATGTTAAAAATATAAATTGGGAGACATACCTTTGATGCCAAACTTGGAATTTCCTCCAAACTTTAGGATAACCAGCATCAGCAAGAAACCAGTGAAGGCTACAGCAGCAATTCCCACGACTACGTATACCTGCAAAAGGACAAAGCAGCGTTATGTCTCCACATATCTGCTGCAGAGAAGCCAGCAAAAACACAGTGACAGCTGCACAAAATCAAGTGCAACACACAGCACAACAAAAGACAGAAGACTCTGGTTGTTCTTACTTCAGTAAAAACAGAATATTCTGATCTGGGTTCATCCAGTCAGATCTAACTTTAAGAAGGAGAAACACCACTTTTAAGACAGGAGATAAAAAGAAAGACTCACAGCAACTCTGTCCTCAGGTGGGTCTAGAGGAGGATTCTCTGTGGATGAAAGGACAAAAAGGAAAACAGAGAGTAAGTTGTGACAAACTGTCACTTCAGTCTTTGCATTTTGTTTTTGTCATTGGTAAAGAATATAATTCAGAGTGACTAATCTAAATTATCAATTAAAAAAAAAAAGACTGCCGGTCATTTATAGTTTCACACACACCCGAAAGCACAGCAAGGCTATTATTTCTCACATCCAATTTAGACACTGGCAATAAAACATCTTGAATAAAGTTATAAGGACCTCAGTTAGGACTGAAACAATCTTCATCACTGCATAACTTATTAAAACATGTGCAAAATCCAAGGAGCCTAAAGACTTGACATTACTCCCATTTCAGGTCCTGCACAATGTCACCTGCAGTCTACTTTTGTTTTGTACCATAATTACTCATATCTCCATTCAAACTAAAACTAAGATCACAAAGAGATAGATTATTCTCCCCTGCAAAATGACAAATGTATCTTTTTGACAAGTTAAATGTGAAAATGCTTTATTTAATGATGTGATCCTGAACTAAATCCTCAGTCCATAGTATTTTTTTATTATGGCAGTGTTAATGTTTGAATGGGATATGGATAGTGGTGAAAGACTTCAGAGGACTCCACCCCATAACTCTGTTTAATATCGTCTCTCATTTAAGATAGATTTGGGACCCTCCAACACATAACCTGTATGTGTCTGCTGCTGAGGTGATGCTCTTGTTGACACAAGAGAACCAAATCAGCAGCAGGATTCAGCCTTCTGCAGTTCGATCTCCGAGGCCAACATGAAGGACCTGGTGCCAATATTTCCCTGCCTCGATAACACGAAGGTATTGAAGCACTGCTGCATTGACACCTTGACAAAAGTGACTGAAGTCTTCTTCCACACACAGTGGGAGTGTTTTAGATTACTGACCAATTATTATTTGTAGGTGAGAATGATGGGAAAACCTAACAGTTTAGCAAAGGTTAATTGAAAGCTTGGCGGTCAGTTCATAACTGTGATATAATCCAGGGTGATCAAATAAAGGGTATAGCTGTACCTGGGGTTACATCTGCTGGCAGGAGGGGGCATCAAAGAAAAAGATAGACAGAGACAAATAAGATCCAAAAGAAAAATACAGTTTAGTTAAAAATACTTTAGACATGCAGCACTTAACAAGTAACCTTGTGAACCATGCTTGCTTTTAGAGTAATTATAGGAAAGCACAACCATTTCACAAACACTGCACACAAACCAATAAAACAACACACACCAAACATGCACGGCTTCTTAAAGGAAATATAGACAACATCAAGGAGACAGTGAGGAAAATAAGTTGTGTAGGTATGTAACGCACCGTCAGGACCTTTAAAGAAACATAAGAAAACAAGAGAAAAACAGATTTCTAAAACAAAATTTCAGTCAACTAATGGGGACAATGTGAAAAAAAGTCTAAACACAAAGACAAAATGAACAGACAGGTTATATCTTTTACATCTGAGAGAAGGAAGGAATGAGGTACAACCACGGAGTATGGAATATTACACCTGTGTATATCCTGGCTGTGGTCATCCCTAATCACACCTCCTCGGCAAATGACATGATGACAACAAGTAATAGGCCCCACCTGTACTATATATCTGTCTGTCTTCACCACCATTATTCAGTTTAGTAGCTGCTCTTCACCAAGCACAGCTGAGAAGCGGGGCAGCCATGTGTTGCACCTCGTTCCTCTCCTTCAGGGAACAGTACTTATATGCATAGCATTATGCTTCCCTTTCCGTTGATTCACTCAGTACAACTCGAGTAAGGGACATATATAAATGCCCTGCAGAGCAGCCATTAAACCTGGGTCAGGCACAGCGAGCTAGTCCAGCACTTCAGATCCAGCAGAAAGAACGGAGTGAGCCACAGAAGCAGCTGTAACATCCAAACCACAAAACTGTAGAAATGTGGGTGGTGAAGACCAGCTGAATGCAGCACAAATATCACTTATGGACACCAATCTAAATAGGGTCCATGAGACAGCTATGCTCCTGGTGGAGTGAGCCCTCACACCTGAGGCATTGGGAGACCTTTGCTGCTATAAGCCAGAGATTTGGCCTCCAGATAGCAGTGGGAGATTCTCTGTCTGGATAGAGTCTTCTCCCTTGCTGGGTTAGCAACACAAACAATTGATCACACAACCTCACATTCTTGGTGTGATCAATGTGAAGGAGCAATGTGCGTACAGGGCAAAGAATGTGTGACCTCCTTTATTCTTCCGATGCTGAAGGAGGTGGAAAAAAAAACTAGAATGTTCTGTAGTCATTGAGCATGTAGTCCAAAGTTATAACCTTAGAAAGTTATTCTGCATTAGGCTGCAATGTGACCTTGCAGCCATCAGGAGGAAAATCATCACAGGCGCGATTTACAGACAAAGCATAAAGGTCCTAAACCCTCTTTGCAGTTGTCAGAGCAAGGAGCAAAGCAACATTACATAAAAGAAACTTTGTATTTGCTGACTCCAAAGTTTCAAATGGAAGATCACAAAAGGCTTTGAGTACCATCATGAGATCCCAGGAAGCTGGGTTTACTCACAGGTATGAGTCGATGCCAGCACCTGGTGTGACTTCATCAAAACCAACATGGTAGGCAGAAACTGTGGCTAGATAAACCTTAATTGTGCATTAACTGCACAAAAAAAAAAAAAAAACATTTATGCAGTTCCTGCAGAAATGTTAAGAGTTCTACCACTGAGCACTGAAATGGAACAATGTACTTATCCTCACACCACTGATTAAAATGACTTTTCTGGCCAGTGTGGTGCCAAAATCAAGGACAGATTTTGTTTGTGCACCCTTTCTGCTACAGACAGTATCATTTACACTCAAAAGTGCATAAAGGAGTACAAAGGACTATCAGTGTGCTAGAACATCTACCCCAGCTGAACATTCTAATACAAATCCAGAGAACAGTGGGTCTTAGCCCTGGTGGACTCCATATTTGTGCCACCAATGAAGGGCGAAGCCTATAATCGGTCACCTGAGGAGCATTTGTGGAGAGCAGCTCTGGACAGATTCTGTTGTCCAGGGACATGAATAGTCTGATAGACCTTCCTTGGGAAGCAACACCCTCTCTTTTATTAAACCTTGGCACAACAGGCTTGGTTTCCACCAAGGGCACAGAGTTGGCATGCAAGTAGCAGTGGTTGTTAGCTTTCTGTAGAAGTGACACAATGATCTACTGCTGAAATGGATGCATCTTCAGAAGACCAAGTGGTACCACTGCGAACATAGTTTCCATCAACCCCATCAGTTTTAAGATCATCCGGAAGCTCATTAGGCATCTGTCAGGAAAACCAGCTCCCCAGGATGATAGCACTTAAAAGCTGTTAGATTGTTAGCATTTTGAACTTGTTTGTTTGGAGGTATTTTTTCAGAATTCTCAAATCCAAGTTTGAACAAAGCCCACCCACTTCTTCAGAGTAACGAAGTAATGACTGTACAAACCTTTGTTCGTCTCTGATTCCAGAACCGCTTCACTAGCTCTCTTTGCAAACATCATATATTTTTCCTACCTCACAGCCTCCATTGCTTTAGCTATGACTGTAGAGTTTTATTGCCTTATGACGATAAAACAGGGCGACATCTGGCAAAACTGTAATTGCAACTTCCACTCAAGGTTGAGCACCAATTGTGAAGATGTGCAGCTGGACGACCAGCCTGCTGCATGGTTGGCAGGTAGCTTCTATATCCTCTCAATGGGTGGGAGAGATGCAGCCTCATTTGACTGTGGCATGTAACTTTTTTAAACTTTGACATTTTTTCATAGAAAAAGCAGTCATTATTGAAATGATTGAAACATTTCTACAAACATTGGGAACAGTTATTGCCATCAGCAAACTTATTAATGCACCCTCACTGGGGGCATTTAATGCAGACATGTAAGTGGGAGAATGCCTACACCATGGTTATTGGACGGGGCCAAGTATGTTGCCACTGGAGGTTCTTTAGGTGGAATATTCATCAGCACAGCTTTTCCAGTGCCTTCCAGGTCTGGATACTGTCGAAAGCCTGGTACCGTGACTCAAGACGACAGTGGTTTGTTCCACGAAGATGTCGGTTCCGAAACAAAGTCTGGGAACAGGGGTAGACACCTTTTGATTGTGGCAGCTTTGCAGGGAGATAAAACTTGCCCAATCACGATGGTTTGTGGACGGCCACTCCACATCCCTTTACATCTGCGCACCAGTAAAGACAGAAAAAGGATATGTCGTCCTGGTCTGCCGGGGTGGTGGCCGACCCACCCTGAACTAGTAAAAGCTCAGTCTCATCCTCAGACAAATCCTTAATGTCTCTGTCGATGTCCAACACGTCCTTTTCTCCCTAAGGAGGCTTCAGTCAAAGCTGAAACTGAGCAACTTCATTGTCAGTTAAGCCATCAACGTTCTCCATTTGGTCTGCCCAGTGGAGACACCGACTAACAGGTCATCCTAATAGAAATTGGATGGAACCAGGTTTACTGATGCTGAGAGCAGTGGGTCTTGCTGAGACAACAGCCTCTCCCAGAACTTTCTCTCCAGGGTCGAGTGGCGAAGCTGGCATTGGAATGCAAATGCTTCAAGCTCCATCAATGCTCTTAGAGTGTGAACAATCCCCAGACAAATGGGAAAGGCTTCATCTTGTCCTTGTCATTAAGAAAGAAGCTGCACTCCTAAGGACAGGGACAAACTGAAGGCTTTACTTGTGTTGGTTTTGTGCTCATTCTTAACCACAAAGCCGGACCGGAATATTGAAATCAGCGCTTCGCTTGCAGAAGTAGTTAACTCCTCACAAAAACGCCAAACTCACCAGCAGCAGCCAGGTAGCCTGAATCCAAGAAGTGTCCTCAGCAAGGTGAAGAGCATAAGAACTGAGTAATGGTGGTGATCACAGACAAATAAGTAGAGCAGGTGGGACCTGTTACTTGTCAGGATATACAAGATGATATCCCACACTCATGTGTTGTACTGAGTGAACAGACTGAAAGGGAACATTTTACTCACCATAGTAGGAAGGTTCATCGCCTACAAATTGGGAGATCAAAGAAAAAACACATTAAGTAAAACATTTTCATTTCTGCAACACACACAAGCTTTATCTCTTTGTGGTTAAATTACACATTTGTTCTGTTAGCCAGTCAAAATTAATGGAACAAGAGACAGGAGAGCCTGCATCGTTATGGATGTATGCACTGTGTGTACCTTGTAAGTTTCATAGGAATATTCTTATAGTTATTTGACTTTCCATTATATTTCACCTTCACTATTAAGAAAATTATGGACAAAAATTAAAAATGGTCTTTTTGTGTCAAAACATCCTGTGCGTCTTTGGGGATGGGCCTAAACCTAAATTTTATTGGTTAGTTTACTTTTATTTATTTGGTGGTTTGACTAAATGTTACTGTGCATTGAAGCTAGCTAAAAATTAGTAAGTAGGCTTTTAAACAGACTGTAGTCGGATTGTTTGCCAAAAAGAGTATAAATTACACATTGCTGTTTCACCTCTTCCTCTGGATATCTCAGACAATCCAACTGAACCTGAGAATCTCTATCCTCCTTGACTTGTGCAGTACGAGGACAGGCTTTACTTTCCTATTTTTATTAATTAAGGTGATTGTAAATATCAGTAAGCTGTGTGTGTGTGTGTGTCGCATTGTGTGGATGACGACTTCTGTTTTTATGGCTCATGCACATTGCGTTCATGTGGCATTTCTGTGTTGATCAGTTCAACAACATACATTGCATATCATTGGGTCAGGGTTGGGAGTCAGGACACATCATCCATTGTGTTTCTATGTGCCAAACGCATCGCGCAAATGTGCCCTATATTTCTTTGGGTTAGGTTTGTGCTGGTTTTTTACACCACACACACGACGCATGTTGAGGATGTGGTTGTGTTCGTGTGGATCAGGTACAGTGATGGTTTTGTGCGCACCCTCCAATAAACTGCAGGCACCCCTGACCAGAGAGAATAAGTTCCAGTATTGCTCCTCACCATCGTCTGGCTTGCGCATAAAGTGAGCTGTGATCTCCTTTTCGTCTGAGCCATATTTATTTTGAACCTCTAGGCGATACAGCCCGTTGTTGATGTGTGTGGGATTGTCCAGCTGGAGGCAGCCGTGGTATTCTCTCTCTGTGATGTCGTGGATCATTGTCATGATGTACTCCCCCTCTGTCACTTCCACATTGTCCCGGTACCACTTGATACGTGGTTCTGGGTTTGCTGAAAACAGAATGAAATTTGTGCAAATGGCTAGTTTAAGATTAGGGAATTCACAAGGAAAATATATTCAAAGTATATTTAAATAGTAGCAAATGGGTTTTATTTGATTGTCTTACACACCTGCTACACTGAAGGGTATGCACCAGTGATGGTCTGCAATGGCGTCACTCAGTTTTGTGATTTGGGGTGCAACTATAAGAACAGTCCAGAGAAGATAGATTTTAGTTGCAAACTGAAAGTGGAATAAGTGAAACATGTAAAGTTATGGATTAAGAGTTAAAAGACACTCCTTTAAAGCCTTTAACTCTGTTTTGAAGTCCACTTATGTTCCAACTTGAATTAAAACAGCATGGCAGAAGGTAGACCTACAAAGTATATCCAGCACCAAAGAGGATTCTCTCTCTCCAACGATATTTTCAGCCATGCAGCTGATCTTCTTGTTGTGGTCCATTGATGACAGGTTTGAGAGCCGCAGCACCGAAATCTGGCCAGACGTTTCGATCTGCAAGTTTAAAACAATATAATTGATTAATAATATTCAGTGATTAGTTTGTTTCAATTGCATCTGCTTGTCGATACATTTTTTTTTTCCCAGTAAAGTTTTAAAAGGTGACCAAAATACAAAATCTGTTTAGGGTTGTACGGTTTATCAGTAAATTTGAATAAATGTTTAATAAGTATACATCAGTAAATATAGTACAAAGCTTTCAACAATGTTTCATATTAATTACAAATAGATGGATGGTAAAATTGGATGCCTGGTGGCACAGTTGGTGGTTCTTTTATCTATGGGTGAAGATAAATACTGGGCTTCAAAAAGACTTCATACTACAACAGACCATCACGTTCAGGCAGGGCAGAAATTCTCTCAGCCAGAGACACAATGTAGTGATTTAGATCAAACAGTGATGTGTATTAAAATGTCCCACTTATAGTTCAGACCTAAAGCCAAGCAAGAATTTTTATCATTACTTGAAAATTGTGGTTTCCATACAACATGATGGGCACAAATTTAATTTCCCTTCCAGATGAACAATGATTACCCCAAAGGACTTGCAGCAGTATTTGTAGGAAAAGGTTGTTATATGAACTATTGAGTTTTAGAATGTTTTATCATTAATATTTAAAACCACATATACTTTTTTTTTTCCAATTTTACAATTCTGTACTTAGTGTTGGTCTTTCACATAAAATTTGAATAAAAGTAACTTGGAAATGAAACAACTGAGAGCTAAAAAAGCTTAAACCTGTGTTTATCTTTAACAATTCTCAGTCTAAGTAACCTCACATACTGCTGCACGTTGTGCGCGAGAGCTTACCACATAGTTTGTGACAAGTGCCATGTTCCAGATCAACTCAGGTGAGGGCATGCCCGATGTTGTACAGAAGAGCTCAACATTATCCTTTTCCATTTTGGTCACTTTGGATGGGGTCAGGGTTGCCATTGGAACCTCTACATACAAAGAAAGAGCAGGAAAGAAAGAGAGTCAGTGATGGAGATGGAGAGAGGAGAGGAAGGAGGTGCAAAGAGGAGAGAACTTAGGATTCCTGACCAACTCTTGTTTATCCAGTTAAAACACAGGGCACGAAACAAGCTCAACAAGGAATGTGGAGGAGCAGCCAAACATACACCCAGCAGAGAGTAAGAAGAAAGATACACAGGGAAAAAGAGTTCAAATTCAATCTCCCTGTCCCCCACTCTGTTTCTCCTGCTTTCATTATTGCACACTCACCCCAATCACACAATAAGACAAAGAGACAGAGTTCAAACACAGTGATGGTTACACTGATTACCAGTGCACGTCTGTAGCAGGCCAGGCACTACATTGATTGGACACAGTCTGAAGCCTCTGTCAAAGCAAAGACACTGGTGACTCTGTGTGTGTCTGCAGCTTTGACCAGGAGGTGACCTGGGTATGACCAATCAGCTTCAATAAGGACTTCCCCACCATTGTCCCCCACATATAAACTCTATTGGAAAGGAGAAGAGGAGCTCAGAGAGGAGAGGGGAGAAATAGGCATTGACATCCGCTGCAGATAAAACTGGAAAGATTTCTTATCAGATCTAACCGTCCAACCTCTTCTGTCCGTCAGCAGACCGCTTATCTGCAGGGAAGCCCACTCAATCACCATGAGATGCTGTAAAAACCGGTCATTTTGCTGGTGGCAGGCCAGCAAGCGTATCAGATTCAAATATCTTAACAGCCTCTCAATGAATCAGTTTTCTACAGCCGCTGCAACCCTCTGCAGGTTAGATTAAGCGCAATACAGCAACATGGACACATCTCTAACCACACCATTTTCACAATTCACTATAGAAACAACTACAACTCACTTTGAAGGTGCAATTCATAAAAACTAAAATTGCTGAAGGGTCACTTTATCAAAAAGTAACTGAATCATCCAAGCAAGTTTTGGATGATTCAGTTTGGGCTCAGGAAAAGCAAATTGTAACATCTGGAAATTATGTGGAGAATAATCAAATTAGGGCACACAAATATAAAAACTGTAAATTAATTCACTTGAGATCTATTATAAGTTATAACGCGTTTTTACCCTATTAATATGGACAGTGATTGTAAAAAGCAAGTAAATTATTTGTCAATGTTTTAACAGGTCAATGACCTGTTACTGGTGTACAAAAATTACACGTTGCACATTGTACCACATTATTAACATTTGTGGAAAATGAAGTACATGCCACTAAACACATAGATACAGAGGGGACTCAGCCACTGAAAAACAATTGATTCCTGGAGGTGTGGATTGTGTTGAAGTTTTAAACTTTACCTAAACGCTATCGTTTGGCCGTGACGCCAGTTCAATGCTATGAAGCTTACCGGAAATTGCCTGAGCTGTAAAAACTGAAGTCAAAAGCTCAAACTATTTATGAAGCGAGATTATAATCGAACAGAATTGTGCATTAAGGTAATGGAGGGGCTAGTTCTTTGTCCTATAAGAGACTAATTCAAGATTTGCATGGTGCTGAACAAAATTTCTCTGCCAAACTGTAGTTAAAGTTAACCTGAAGGAATCAGCTAAATTCATAGTTGTACTTTTTTTTATCTGATAGATACTTTACAACTACTGAGTGTAATAAATTAGTATTACTTTATGGATAGGATATAACCCCATGTAATATTTTTTGTCTGATATAATTAGTATTTTATTTGCCTAGATGTTACTTCTTCATAAGGAGTATAAATAGCTTTGTCAGGACGTGCCAGGGGCATTATAAATTCTGATTTGATTTTGCATTCTTTCTTCAACTTAATGCCAGCTGCTTTTATTCATTTAAACCAGGGCTTTTTCAGGGGAACAAATTAAGGTAAAAGGCTTTTAGTTGTACAAACTGTAGAAGTATGCGGCACCTTGTTCTTTGACTCATTACAGGTAATTTCTGCATTATTTTCATAACTTAATTTTTTCCCCTCTTGCATTTTTTCTACAAGATGTTTTTTTTTTTAAGTTTGCTGTAGAGAGGAGGCTTATCTGTAAACAATGACTTGCATTTGGAAAAGATGACAAATAACTCTGCTTATATGCACACTAACACTTTCTGCATGTTTTGTGATATAAGGACACTCCAGATGGAAAAACATCCACGTTTGAAACCTCTGCCAAAGAATACTTCACCTATTTTCCTTGGAGTGCCAATGTTGCTATTGTGGTCGGTCACAATAAACACATCAAAGAAAAACAGTGTGATTTCTAAGAGTAGCAGACATAGGGAGCAGACAAACAGAAGCAGGTTTCTCAAAGTGATTCAGCACTAAACTCTGTAAGTTTGTTGTTTGATTTGTTTGTTTAAACAGTGAAACAGCTGCTGCTCTCCAAGAGGGATAATAGGAAAATAAAAAAGCATAAAGGACAGGGATTTGTTGAATTGGGATAAAGATTTCTTTTCGACAGAATGACACTTGTAAAACTGATCATCAAGTCACCCAGGAAGTTTGATCTGCTTCTTTATTTGTTTTTGTTTTTGTTTCATCCATCATTAGGACATTGACATTTCTTTTGTCCGTCTTATCATTCATTCATGCTATTATAAGAAAACGGATTTGCAAAAATAACAAGTCATGTGTAAACACTAAAACAATGTTCAAGTAGAAAGAAATAATTGTATGTTTAAAAAGTCACTTCTGCTCACTTGTAACAGTATGGCAAGTTAGTTTATCATAATATATTAGTCTAGATGTGTGCAGATTAGAAAATTTCTAAATTGCCCAGAACATTTCAGCTGTCTAGAATACTGATGATCCTATGAAAATGAAAGGTTTCTCATGTCACAAAGATTATTCTTTCTCACTAACTATACTGCTTTTTCCTTTAAATGTCCAAGTGTACATTTTTTCAGTCTGGACTGAATAAAATTCAAAAACAGGCAGCTAATTTAAGATAGGAGTTGGCTTTGAATACATGTTACAGAGCGTGCCATACTTGACCCTCACCTGCTTCAGCTATGCACAAAGACTGTTCTATTTCTTGACACATTCTAATTTTGTCTCATTCAGAATTGTCTAATTGTCCAATAAAGGTGATTGGCCTAAGAGTTTTGACGAGATAAACTCTTCAGCTGTTGAATGTACTAATAAACCAAGTCACTGTTAACAAGCCATTACTCTTAAAGAACAGCTTAGCCTTATAAGGAAGTCTGGAGACCCAAAAAGTATTTAAAAAACAGCAGTCTTTTATCTTTAATTGATGCTATAAATAACATAATGAAACAACATAACAAGTGAACCCTAACCAACTTTTAAGCTCCTCGGTTGGTTGAAATTTGTTTTTGCATCTCGTTTTTTAGTTTGTAACTGGTTTACAAACTGAAATGAATGAGTGAGTCACCAAGTTTCTGTTTATAAAAAAATCACACATGAACATCATCTCCTGCCTGCTAACACTAAGCAGAGCCATCTGGCCTTTCTGGGTAATCTGCCATTAAAGGCTTGTGTCTACATGTTTCTTCCTTGTTTCAAGACAGCAAAAGAGGAATGATCGAGGGTCAAAGTCATTCCAGCCAAACAGAAGAAGTGACAGCGAGACAGACAAACACAAAAACAGACAGATGAAGACAGAGTACGCCTGTGGACGAGTCTGGTAACCAACCTGCTTCCATTTCTGCTCCACATTAATAAAGCTTTACCCCCCAAATATATGTCTGAGCTATAGGCAAACAATGCTACAGGTGCCAACAGGCCTTGGGCCCCAGAAGAAAACCAGTTTCTGAAAAGGACATGTTGACAAATGCCACTTGTACGGAAATATGGGTGTCCCATTATGTTAAAAATGTATTAAAAAATAATAATGTTTTTAATAATTTAGTTTTAGAAAGTGAAACTAATCAATTATGTAGATTAATTACACAGAGGAAAACAGAAATTAACAGATTAGACAGAGAAATTAAGTAAATGTTTGGCACTTTTACAATCAGTTAATTTTTACAATGAAGGTTTAAATTAGTAATAAAATCTCAAATTCAACTTTGGACATAAAAAACAATACATAATACCAATAAGACAGGCTTTTAACCACACTTATTTTTCTGTAGACTTATAATGCCAATGCTTGGATACAGCAACTTGTGGAAGACAGTTTCTTTAGTGATGACCTTTTCTGTCTTACCCTCGTTATGAAGGGTGTCAGTGACCGTCTCCTGGGCAACGTTGACGTTTTGCCATGATTTTGTCGGTCACAAAAAGGCCAACTCATTTTGTATAGAAAAAGAAATGACCCAGTAAATCATCCATATCCATTGCCTTGAGAAAGTCCTCAAGGCAACAGTACTACCAGCTGTGCAGTCTCTGAACAGATTTTCCGGACTATAATGCGCACCTTACTATAAGCCTCACCTACATTTTTTTTAACTGTAAACGTACATATATAAGCCGCACCGGGCTATTAGCCACTGACATCTCCGCCACTCTCGGTTTTCCACAAGGACACAGCAGAGGACTGCATCCTGAATAAATCTGCTATAAAGGACGCAGCCCTGGGTCTCCATCGCCGAACCATGCACTCGTTCACACATATATATATATATATATATATATATATATATATATATATATATATATATATATATATATATATATATATATATATATATAAAAGCACTTTTTGAAAATAAACCAAAAATGTGCTTAGACTACACAATCTGTACATATTGATGATATATGTTTAATTCATTAAATGGCACTGAATGCACAAATTTGCAATCTGCAGTGGTGAACTTTGCAGACTTTCGCAAGCTTAAAACGACCCTAAAAAGTCAGATTTTTAGATTAGCAAGTAAGTCATGTACAGCTGAAAGAAGACTGTTAGAAGCAAATTATGCTGCAGTGAGAAGTTCATGAGTTTTATGTGCCAGGTTTATTGTTTCAAACAGTGTGAGGCTTTAACACCTGCAGCTGTTTGAACTCTAATATTTTTTATGTGTCGCACAGTGGATTAGATTTTATATTACACGAGCAGGGCTGTAGTAAGTCAGAACGGCACCTCTCTGTAATAAATTGCATTGGTCAGTCGTCTTTTCAGCAAGTTTTTTCGAGCAGATCTCCGGCAGTATTCAGTCAGTGGACACTAACAGATAGAGATCAGTGTCAGCTCAGCCCCGGGGCTTCACTGGGCATTTCCTCTCTTTTGTGCCTCCCTCACAGTGTCAGTCAGAAATGCTCAAGCACACAGACACAGGGACACACATGAATCAGACAGACAAATGGAAAAAGAGAAACAGAATCGGCCCAACAACCAGCAGTTTGGGCAGACTGAGAGGTTCTTTGGTGTGTCGCAGTTCGCCCTGGGGCATCATTTGGCACTCCTTCCCCTCCATGTCCTCCCACTCATATGTCACTCTACCGGGGGTCCCCTGCCCACCTCTCCAGAGGCCCTGCTGTGACTACGCTAATGCCAAAAATAACGTCTGCTAATGGAGGGGACGCAGAGGGGACAGATCAATAGGAGTTATCAATGACATTGTTAGCTTCCTGTAAGCGAACTTATTGTTTGTGTTCCAAGTGCCCTGATGGCCCTGGGTTATTTCTGTCCAGTTTACACTGTCAGCAAAAACATGAAAATAATCTTTCCGGATGTAACCTTTTGTTTTTTTAGACCTAGCAGCTAAAAGTCAAGTAAAATCACAAATATATGTATTTCCAAGCACAAATACCTAAAAATCAGAGAGCAGCCCAGCCAAAAAAGACAACTGTTTTGTGAACATAAACAGTTGAAGATAGATTTATCTTCACTGACCAAAAATTGTTGTTCGAAATCCTTTTTTTGTCAGGATTGTAAACTTTTTTTTTTTACACAAGGTATGGACACAACACAGTTTGTGCCAAAGGCAACAGGCAGGTTAGTGAAGGAAACACTGGCTGTTGGTTGTGGGGAAGTTTCTTCGGTAAATAAATGCAGTGTTTATTTCTTTATGTATATTCCATCTCTGCTGATTACCACAGACCAAGCTTTCAAATTAAATCTATAATAAATAAATCCCACATGTTAAACCACATTAAAAAAAACAAAACAAAAAAACCTCTGTTACGTGTAAAAAAAAAAAGGCAGACTTTCAGCTGCTTCCATTCACTGCTGCTGTGTCTGCAATGCCCATAAGTTTTACCATAAGAGGCTATTTCTAATTGTGATTGAATTTAGGTAGACCAGGTTTTTAAATCTCAACATAGGGCAACATACTGTTGGATCTACAAATTACTACAAGTTACAAATCTTCTTTGAAACTTTCACCTCATGAACTCACTTTGTTGCTAGAAACTTTGGCATTATAACTATTTTTTTTTATCTCTGTGGCTGGTTTGTCTCTTCTATTTTGTTGTTTTTTTTATCTTTCTTGCACAACTGTAACGTAAACAAATTATATAGGTAATGCTTATTAGGAAAGAATAAAAATGTAAAAAAAAATTGTAGCTACATAAAATTCAAATCCTAAATCATCATCAAGCATCAGTCTTAGTCTTATACTTATGGTATGCTAAAATGAAAATAGAGCAAGAGTTGGTCCAGTGCAGACGTCCACAGACAGGTCAAGCTGTAATTCGACCCTATTTATGAGCAGAAGTGAGTCCAAAAAAAGAAGATTCATGAAAAATTCATGCAGCGTATATAAAGCAGAGAGGAATAAAGTGTCAATTAACTGCTGACATTTATACATTCAAGTTTAATAAACCTTCCCTTATGCAGCACATAAAAGGCACAGTCTGTAGGAGTCTGCCATGAAGTCGGAGAAAACTTGTGGGTAAGGTTCATAACACACTTGTGCATAAATCTCTGCTCTGTTAGGAAAATATTTGCAAGTTATACAACATAATTATTCCTAATAGAGAAAGTATAAACTGTGTCACTACCCTTGTTCATAATGTTTTACAGTTAAATGCATATACAAAGACATTATTGTTCTTGCAGTTCAACATATACATGCAGCTCGCTATAAACACAGGACGGATTCTTCACTTTATGAAGAGAGCACGATAATTCAAGGAAAAAAGGGGGAAATAAATTCTGCTGGATGAAAACATGTCACTGCTAGTAAAGGACAAACTAAAGATGTTCCTTTTCACAACAAACTTTAAACAACTTGAGATTCAATGATATCTGTGGCTGGTTTTTTTTTTTTATTGTAAAGTGTCTTTTCTAAGTCAAACAGCAAACATTTCAAGTTTGATCTTTAAGAGCATCTCAAATAATTTATAATTTATACACAACACTGAAGTCCAAGAAATGCCTACAGCATAGCGATATACATAAACCTGTTTGGTGCTGGTGTCATCTTAGTAGAATAAAGCAGCAATAAACATCAGCTCTTAAAGTGTGTGCGCTTGCTTTCTTTTTTATTTCTTGGGGCATTTATGTGTAGGACATTGCAGCTTTCTCTGCTCTTTTGTGTGTGGGGGGTGAAATTAGAATATACGAGCTAAGCACAGTTCTGTGAATTGAAATAAAGTGTGGGCAGCATTTTCTTTGCAGCCTGTGCAAACATAACACACACACACGCACACACACATGCACACACAATCGCAGATACGGATAACTGATTACTGCAGAGGCTGTTGTCGCTGTGTGAATTGTGTTCTTTGTACAGTTATTCTCTTAGGTGACACCAGCAAAGCTCTGTTATTCACTCATACATTCTCCACACCCACTGTGAACTGACAAAACACTTAGCACATTTGGTTCACAGTACCAATTCTCAGTCCGTGCTTAAACACCAACACTTCTCTCCGACACCACAATTAACACAGCACATTAACACAGAGAGGAGGCAAATATTAAAAATTGCAGAACTTCATACAAACATCTATATCAAGGTAGCGATTAGTATGACTGTGTTTCCTCCAGTTGTTGAACAGCTTGTGGATGTTTGTTTTTTTGTTTTTTTTCCACTTTCCTTCTCTGTCTGCATGTGTATGCGTGTGTGTGTGCATGTGTGCGTGTGTGAGTGTGTGCGTGTGCATGTGTGTGTCCCCTTACCACATTTCGGTAGTCTCAGTCTTGACAACGGCTTGCGTGCTCCTCCATCCTCGATGCAGCGCAGCTCCTGAGTGTCTGCTTCCTCTCCCAACCACAGCTTGATCCACATGTTCTCACAGGAGCAGTGTAGAGGGTTCCCTGACAGGATTCTGGAGGGATCCAAACACACACATGGTGACGAACTCTGACAAAGACTGAGTAGCAAAACAAAAAGAGTGCAACGCAGACTTAAAGGCAAGCTAATGGTAACCTTCTGATCTCTGGAAGCCTCAATAAAAAAACTAATATTTCGAATAATTTTCTCTCTAAAACATCATATTCACATCTTTTTTACAAGCTAAGGCTTCAAATATGAGAACATGAGCATATGAGATTTTGATTTCATACAGATAAAGTAAATCATTAATAATGAGAGTAATAATGTTGTTAAAAATAAAATGCCTTTGTTTTAAACAACAATTTTGATAAAACCAAATAATTTTGACTACTTTTGGTCTTTATCAGGGTAATTGTGTGGTATGGTAAAAACGCCACCACCTCTAACTTCACCTTACGTCTCACTAACCAGATACAAACACAATTTGATCACCAGACAAGCCAGGCAGACCTTGTTTTCAGTTTTTTTGGTCATGAAAAAAAAAGGTTCCTGCATGAGTGCAGCGTTTTTCACATGCCACGTATATCTAACAATATGCACCACTCCTGCAGAGCTGACACAACTGGGTCTCAAATATCACAGCAATGATTCGATAATATTACTTATTCTCATGCTGCACTATGCAGATTCTTCATGAACCTCGGTATGTTGAATGCTTGACACCAAATTGAAAATTGATGACTTGACTTAATTTATTGAAACTGTAAATTCCACACCCTTGATACCAATACATGCGCGCTATTCACACTAGAAGAGCTTGTCAGTCCACACACATGCATTAATGATATCACAGGACTCAATGAATCTCAAAATCACCTTCATTTTCTGATGCTTAGCCCAACATTACATGCGTTTTTGAATATACCAGCATATATGTCGCATTAGGTTAGCTTTCTCTGGGTTAGTTTTTATAGGTTTTTGGCTAAAAGTGGAATTTTAGAATAATTTGGCAGAAATACGGTTTTGGTCATATTTAAAAAAAAAATTGTCACTGTTTTATGGAGAAATAAAATTTTGGTTTTCAGACCTCAAGTAACAGTAATCATGTTTGATGTACTTCTAATCAGAAATAACTGCAATCAAAGATCACTGATATGTTGGAAGTAGATAGTAGGTGAAAGTTCAGGAAACAGAGGAACTATGAGACCGGTCATGACTTACTGGAGCACGAGATGCACGGAACAGCACAAAGGAGTAACAGAGAAGGAGAGAGCGCTGAACTTTGGGTTTTCAGAAGACAGCCGGTTGGGCAACTCAAACTGCTGACACATTAGTTTTTGGTTCATTTGATTACTTATTCTGTATTTTATTAAGTAAAAAAAAAGTGTTCTAATGTTGAAATTGATCAGATACTGGAAATTAATGGAAATCATACACAGAGATGCTGAGATGAACATTTTTCCCAAAACTATCAGATTTGTAAATGACTGCTTTAAAGAATAACATAAAATAGGTAATATAATTAACTAAGTTTGGTAAAACAACAAACTTTATCTTTAAAGAATGTGAGGCTGAAGGACCTATATTTTAGCAATTCTCTGTGGGATTTGGGTTTCGATGTATTCCTCTTTCTGGCTTTTACACTGATGTGTTAGCTCATTATGTTACTACTGAGAGACAGAGCAAAGCAGTTTCCAGATGTTGCTATTCTGTCTGAAGACAGATATGAGATCTTTATCAATCCTGCTGATCTAATTCTCTTCCAGAAACCCAATTACAGTTTTCCTGCAAGTGCAAAACAGCTCATTTAAGAAGATTATCCGAAGTTCAAAGACACCGTGGGACATAATCACACACTGTGAGGTAACTCTAAATGTTTTCTTTGGGCAAGCATGGGATGTGTATTTTTCAGCTCGCTATATATTAGCTAAGCACTCCTCCAACAATCAGAGGCATTGATCCTGATGGGTATTTTATGAGTTATGGTTGGAGGTAGGAGGCGCAACTACCAGCTGGTATGTATTTTGATATCTTTGCTCGTCTAAATCTAAGTGGTAAAATAGCTGCTTTAAGATTTTTTTTTAAGGCTGACAGCCAATGAAGCCAACTCAAAAAACTTCAGCTAACATCAGAGTTCATCTCATGATGAAGGTGAAGGTTTCTGCTAACTCACAGATATGAGATGTTGAGGTGCTTGAATATCCTCCAGGAGAGGGACGACAGGTTGTTGTCTTTCAAATTCCTGCACACGAAGCCAAGAATCAGTGAATGAAGTTCAATATAAACAAAAAGTATTGCATCAGGTTGTTTTAAAATGTTTCTACATCCAAATCAATTTATGTTTTGGTACAATATACAAATGGAGTTGTGCCTCCATAAGATTGCAGCAGTGAATAAAATTACGAAATACTTTAAGTAATTTTGTATCAAATGTAGATTAATTATCTTGCTCATGTTTCTAATTTTCATCTTTTTTTTACCTTTATGACTAATTTAACGATATTAGAAATATGGTTTTATTTATTACAATAATATATAAAATGTATGTAATAGTATGTAAGTCTCTTTTCTCATCACCCTTAAATTCAGTATACAACAAATCAAATATTACCTTTTTATATAATGATACCTCTTAAATGCTGTCTTACAAAATGGTGATTAGTGCACAAAAAGTACAGAACTTATCTGCACAATCGTTGTCATGTTAATAGAAAGAAAGAAAACGACGGTTTTACTTACAGGTACTGTAGCCTTAAGTTGCTCTGAAATGCCAGTTTTGATACGTATGTCAGCCTGCTGTTGGTCACCGTACTGACACAAAACAAACAAATACATCAGTATCATTAGAGTCCTCATGAACATTAAAAACCCGACACATTATTAATATTCACAGCAGGCAAAACCTTTCAGCAAATTACAGGGCAGCTGCTGGGGTGTTTATAATGAGCAAAATGCATCCAAAAGGAAAACAGGCTCCAAAACAAATTCACTTTTCATTAACTCTGATTTACTGACCTGTAATACAACTTTAGTGAAATCTTTTAGAAACCAAGCTGTACGTTTACTGTTCTAAATGCGCAATATGATGATAGCTATAATAACTATAAGTGGAAAGCTGATCCAGAGGCATGAAACTAGCAAAAAATAAATAAATAAATAAAAGTTGAGCTTGTTTGCAATCAACTAATGTCTGAATGCTCTTTGAAAAAAGAAATACTGCATACCATAAAAATGAACTAATGTACATAAGCTCAAAATTATTGAAAGCCCCGGCAGATTTAGGTGTTATTTTGTTTCCATTCATCAAAGAAGTAAGTTAGCGATAGAAAATGTGGCATTACTCAAAAGATAATAAACAATGTACAGAAAATGGCAGAGAAAGAAGGGGAAAGCTTGCACCAAAACGCAGCTCTTCAAACTGGGAAGAGCTGCGTTGAGTATTATAGCCGCCGCTTACGATGCACCTGCTCCAGCACGGAGCCACAAGGTCCCAAAACTTTCTGTGAATTTAGAGTTATGCCACAGCAGGTCCAACTCCACACTGAAGTAATTTACTTGGTACTAATTTCTTGTTTTTTTATTCTGATTGTTTAGATATAGACAATCAGACTATTATGTAGATAATCAGACTATTATACAGATATAAACAATCAGACACTTATACAAACAAAAACACAAAAAAAGCTTATACGCTATAATATTTTAAAACTTTCATTATAATGAGGCACATATGTTTAATACGTCTGTCTGTTATAATAAGAAGACGACACTTGAACTTAAACATTTCCCATGTAAAATAAAGTCATAAAGGACTCACAGGTTCCTGAGGTTCTTGTAGTAGTACAGGTCTTTGTCATTAATGGAGGAGAAGCTGCTCTGGTTTGCAATGTAGCTGTCAGGGGATACAAGCGTGCATAACACAAAGATAACTTGTTAGCATGGGGAAGTACAAGCAGAAACCCGTCATCAAGATATAAACATGTTAAACCTACATAAATGGACACGTTTTTATTTTATTTTTTTTAAATATACTTTTTGACGGACCACAGCCGATCCACAGGACGCAGGGGAAAATCGTTGTAGCTTCTCAGAGTGAGGAAGCAGAATGTGTTATCGTCTCTTTTCCTCAGCAGCATCTGAGCAAAACACTTGACCTGTTTGTGTTTGAGGGGCCAGCAGGAGACGGTTTCCGAGCAGCTCCCATGTGTGCATGAAAAGAACGGAGCGAACATATTCTGAAAAGCAGCATAAGTACTTCTCATGTATTACAGCTCTGGGATTAGATGTCTGAGAATATTTCAAGCTAAACAAAAAGACTATGAGAGAACCGAGAACGTGCTATTTTACCGAGACAACAGCTACAGCAGCGCCGGCTGTATGGGTCAAGTTCTCAGGGTAATTTTACATAAAACATTGAACAAAGGTTTACAAATACTACTGAATTCCCATCAGCCCCAGCAACGAAAAATTATCTGAAACTGCTTAGCTCTGAGGTGCTTTTGCTGTTCTTATTTTCAGTGTAAAAATGACCTATTATATCATGTACTGTAAGTGAAAAGGTGTGCAAACACTATAAAGGCAACAAAATATCTAGTTTTTGTGATATAATACCTGAGGAAATTCCCCCAATCTATTTAATCCCCCACCTGCCGCTGGTTATCTCTTCTATAAAGGGAGATGAATATTGTGTCATCAGAAGCTGGGCCAGTAATTAGAAAGAGCTCAAAGGGCAGCAGTCCAGGATCCCAATTTTGTTGGGGCCTTAAAGATTTTTATTTATTTTACAAATGTGTGTTGAATGATATTCAACAATTAGAAAATTTGTATGTTATAGTAATTTTTTTAGGAACAACATATGTAATAAACCTATCATGCATCAATTCATACTGCTAATGTACAGGGCTACCTATGGATACGGACAGCAAGACTGGCGCCAGCCCAGGGGCCCATAGCTTTCTAAGTTCAGCCCTGATCCAAAGCGATGTGCAAGAAACAGGAGGAACACGTCAAGAGGAAGTGTAAAGGGTCTCCGTGTTGGTCATAATCTTTTGCCTGACCTGTGTATGTCTATGACTCTCAAACTTAATTTCAAGAAGTTCTGGTTTGACAAGACAATTCAAGTGAGTGTTCTAACAATAACACTACAGAGGTTTTCTGTCTGGTAAAATTTATTTAAGATGGGGAAAAAAGCACAACTAATTTTACGACTCAACACATTATATATATATATATATATATATATATATATATATATATATATATATATATATATATATATATATATATACACACACACACACACACAAAGACAGACAAATATCAAAATTTACTCTTCATAACCAACTATATTTGAGTGCAGTTGCCTGACTTGGACTGGCAGCTCATTAAATTTTGACCCAGTACTGACATCTCAAGGCATATTAAAAAAAAATAAAAATCAGGACATCTCAGCAATTAATGCAGACAAGATAAACCATCTCCACGGCTTTTGGCAAGGTCGTTTTTGGTTCAAACTCAAGCCAAGCACTTCATCTCATGCTCATTTAAACAGCCTCCAAGGCCAGTGATAAGGATTGTTTCTATCTAACCAAGCGTGTCAACAAGGTCGTTTTTACCTGTGCCAAGAAAAGAGCTTATCTTCAAGTTTCCTTATCTAAAATGTATGAATTTACGAAGTTATGACGCAGGGATGCTGCAAATCCCGAAGTGCACAAAAAAGAATACAGTCATCAAAAATGAGCAAAATATTCAGTCTGGGTAGAAAATTGTTGCCTAAGCAAATCCCCCCTTCAGCATCAATTCTCTCATCTCAGTTCGTCCAAATAGCCTCCTCATATTAGCCATCTTGGGAAGTGTCTGTGCTAATATTTGGACTGTGGTGTCTGATGAGAGCGCAGCCAACTACACACAAGCAAACACAGATTTGTTTTTAACAGACTTTTCTACATTGATCGCCCCGTGGTTGCAATGGGTGTTCTATGCAATGCAGGTTAGGCTGCACACTAATCGTGCAGATAGAAAGGGCTGCTTGCTTCCTCACATACCTGGACAATTTCAAAGAGTCCTGAACGAGGTTAAGGGTTCGTTGAATGAAATTATTTTTTTTTAAATCCGCCTTCTACTCAGGCTCCCTCGCTGTGCGAATGATCAGCAACAGATGATGTTTGGAGGGCTGAGCATTTCTTTATTTGCCGGAAGCGCAGCCGCGATTAAATGCTCTTTAAAAAGAAATAGGTTAGGCCAAATGGAGATGCGGTTCTGACAGCTTCCACACTCACATGTCGGTGATGTTCTCCATCTCCGCCTCGCTCTGCAGGACGGGGAACGCGCTGATCCCTCGCTCCGGGTCCACGCAGGAGATCCTGGTGCTGCTGCAGGAGCAAGTCGAGGGGCATGCCTCCGCGGACATCCAAGGGTCCCCCGAGCCCACAGTCACCCCGACCGCCACGACCCACCACCAGAAGCACTGCCACGAGCCCGAGGTTCCCCACGCCGAGGGGAGAGCCCAGATCCCTGGTCCCGAAGCGCACATCTCGGGTGTCCCGACTCTCAGCTACAAGGCTCGCCGAAAAGCCCCCACGGCCCGGCCCGGGTTGGCTGGGATCAGCCCCGGTTCGGCCAGTCAAGGAGAAGAGAGGGGAAGAAAGGTGCGGGGGTAAGAAGCAGAATCCGATGCTGAGGTGGCAAGAAGCGGTGAAGAGACGCTAGAAAACCATCAGAGGTCTCCGAGATGACAGACGAGACGCCAAAAAAAAAAAAGGTGTGAAAAGGATTAGAAGAGCTGCGTTGTCCTCCAGAATCCTCCGTCAGACAGCCAGTCAGTCAAAGTCTCACTGCCACAGGGGCGCTGTGTGCCAAGTAGAATCGCTCTCTCTCCCCCCCTCTCTGTCTGCCTCTCTCTTTCTCTCAGATGTCACTGACCGGAGCGTCCTCGGCACAATGTTCTCTGTGTGTGGATAATTGTCTGCTGCTGCTGCTGCTTTTTGCTTGGTGCTCGGATAAAATGTGCGGCGCGCAGAGAAAAAGGCTGCGATGAGGACAGATGAAGGAGGAGAAAAGGGGGGGAGAAGGGAAAGGATGCGTACCCGCATCAAAGCAGATCATGTACAAAGTGAGACACCGTTGATTTCTTTTTAAAAAGGAGATTTTCTTGATCTGCTCTCAGGAAGGTCCGGACACAGAGCAGGAACATTTCATTGCTGAATACAGCTGTTTTGACTTGAGGTTCTCTACTGTTTGGTTGTACTGGACCAACAGTATTTGAGGACCAAAGCCAAATTTGATTTGAGATCCAGTACAGATCCATTACCTTGCAACTTACCACAAATCCCAATTGTCCAACTTCGATTGTTTGCATGTTGTGCAATTAGCATCCTCATTCACGGTTTACTTACAGCCCAACATTATATTGAACACATTGTGAAATGTGTCACTTGATTCTCATGCTTTTCACATTAGTTATTAGATAAATATTAGAGTTAGTGCTGTCATAAACGGTGGTTGTGGTGAGGATATGGACGCAGGCGGACCCAGGAGGTAAGTGAAAATGATGACTTTAATGGTGGTATCCAGAAGACAGAGCAACAGAGAACAGCACAGGGAACATCTCATGGCACGGGGAAACAGGCAATACATGACAAGGATCCAACGAGAGACAAAGACAACAGGTGGGTTTAAATACACACGGGGTAATCAAGGGAATGAGTCACACCTGGGAAACAAGGGGAAGACCAGAGACAGACTCACAGGGAACAGGACTACACAGAAAAAAATCAAAAATAAACACACAGAAACACGGATTATGACAAGTGCCTGTGAAGTGGCAGAACAGGGAGGTGGTCTCAATTTTCAAGAAAGAGGACAGGATCAATTTACCAAAGGATCCCAACTGTCCATCAACCTTGGAAAGAGAAAACAGTTTTCACTGAGTTTAGGAAAAGAATAATAAACATCACACAATATGAATGAATTACAAATGCAAATGTGAAACAGTCAGATTGTTCCAGAGCTGATGAGCGTAGAAACTATGGCTCCTCCACTTGTTTAGTTATGGTACTGGGAGCAGTGGGTAAACAGGTTTCTCATGACCTGATGGGTCAACATGCTCCATACCAGCAACTCTAAAACATATCTAGGCCCAGTACCAGCACATTACTTTAACATAATATTATTTCATTCGCAGGGGATCAGTGCAGGTATTTAAAGGTTGGTGTAGTACAATCCCTTTTTCTTGCTCAGAACAGTTTGAGATGAAGGTTCAGTTTCATGTCGCTGGAGGTACTTCTATCCAGGAGTACTGACTATCTGGGCATCATTCTGGTAGTTGTATGCCCAAAGTCAGACCTGTGTCCACATTCTCAGCACAAGTCCCAGTCCAAGTTCCTCTCTTGTTACTAAAATTGTTTTGTTTTTTTTGTTATCATTGACACGGTCATTGAGAGAATTGTGTCTGCTTTGGAGCTTAGCTCAGTGTTTTGCAGATGATGGGGTTCTATTTTCGTCTTCAAACCATGACCTTCAGAGTGTATTTATGTAGTTTGTGGATGAGCATGAAGCAGCCCTTCAAGTCCGAAGCCATGGGTCTCAACCAGGAAAAGGTGAATTGTTTCGTCCTGCTTTGAGGTCAGATTTTGGCTCAGGTTGGGGGTCCTTGTTAACAAATGATGGAACAGGATATTGAAAGTTGGATCCAAGCCTCATCTGTATAAGGGTGGGCCCTGCTTCAGTTGGCTGTGGTGAAAGAAGCGAGTCGAAAAGTAAAGGTCTCGTCTTTCTGGGTGACATGAGACAATGGCGTATCAATCTAAATGTCGATACTATCAATATTGATATTGGTAGTGTCAATATTGATGAGGCCGATGCTTTTGTTTGCAGTTTCTCTTCTGAATGTTCAGCAAATTACTCATGCCAGTGCATATGCAGGAATTAAAATGCCAAAAATCAAGAGCTCACATTTTCAGTTTGAGAGCAGGACTTCATACTTCTGCTATGTTTGCTTTCAAAACGTCTGCTTTCTTTCAAACACAGTCTGTTCACTTCCCCCATAAGAGCAACTTCACTCCAGCACTGTCTGCGCAAACAGCACACACCTGTCTTGGCTCACAGCGTAATCTGTGATCAGAGTTGCAATTTTAGCATACGGATTAAACTATTAGTATCTATTCAGGCAGCTGCAAAAAATCTTACTGAAATCAAAAATATACACTTATGTAAAGCTTTATACCTCAAACCTGAAATAGTTCACACACTTTTGTGTGAGAAGTAGTATTCCTACTGATGTTACATGCAGATTACAGTAACAGACTCAGTTATCCTAAGAAACAATTGTGTGTAGTAGAAAGTAAAATGGGAAATATTTTTATTTAATTACTGCTACACTGTGTTATATTGCAGTTAGTTCATAAAATCGCCTTTGACCTGCATTTTATCATAATGATGATCAACTAACTGAAGTCATATCAATACCAAAATTCCTAGTATCGCACACCGCTAATGGATGAAATAGTGAGATCCTGGATACAATGATCTGGAGTGAGCCTCTCCTCTTCAGTTTGGATGGACTCACTGTTAAAAACAAGGTGAGGACCTCTGGGAAAGCTGAGCATAAAGACGCTACTCCTCTGCATCAAAAAGAACCAGTACGGCTTGTTCAAGCATAAAACAAAGATGTCTCCTGAACTCCTCCTTTTTGAAGAACCAAAGGCAGAACCACCGGCCAGGACACATCTGGGGATGATTTGGATTTGGTAGGAGAGTGTTTGTAGGAAAAAGGGATGCCAGCGTTTCCCTACCTGGACCTGTTACTCCAGCAACCAGATCTCAGATAAGCTTGACAATAGATGGTTGGACGCACAGACAGATGGCAGTAAATAAATAATAATAATTAATTGACTTTTCATTTTGTCTGGACTGCAGTATAACATTATAATGCAAGCTCAGTGAAATTAGAAAGAAGGGGTCAAGTTAAACTGGCTTTGCTCACCAGGACCAGAGCAAAAACACCAGTTATGTATGAATACTCTGCAGAAAGCAATGTGCTTGAAATTCTACAGACACAACCACATAAATACAACTGTAGAAACATGGAATTGTCACTGTTAAGATTGTAATAATATTCAAATTTCAGCAGAATTGTGATTTAAAGAATTTGTAATTTTTATAACGTTTTATTCAGAAAATTATCAATATTCTGTTTGAGAAGCCAAACGCTCTCTGGGGTTCCCTGCAGGACAGGAAGCCCAGAGCAGCAGGTTTGTTTTGGTGAGCCTTAGGTTGGCTCTGGTTGGCCTTACGCTAATGACAGAGATGGATAAACTCTACCTTGAAGACTTCGCTGAGATCACTGCATGAACGAGATTTAAGAGCCTGTCAATTTAGACGCTATAATTGTCATAATCGTCCTCATCAACGCTGTGGTTGTCATTATTATCATTTGGTTGTCATGCTGGGCCTCTCTAAACCTGTGTACGGTTAATTAGTTCAAATCAAAGCTGTCCAAATTAGGCTCTTTCTTCTGCACAAGTCAAATTGTTCAAATCATGATGAGGGAATATTAAAAAAAATAATAATGGAAGGTAATGTACGTGCAAATCTCGGGTTAAGCAACATGTTCAGACTCTTAAATGAGCTTAAACATCGAGGTGAGATTTGAATGAGACAGTAGACAAGAGAGCTGGCAACTATAAGACCAAGCATCAGATTTGAAAGTCATTAGGTCATATTTCACAATCGTGTGAATTATATGTGGCTCATAGCTTTACTGGACTCGAATCAATATGTCATCTCAGGGTGGAGGCTGGATGCCAGTCACTCTGCAGCGATACATCTCTTTCAGCTGGCTGTATTTCTAATAAGAGTGGATCTGTCTTTAACACGGCCGAGCCACCGAAGGACGAAGCCACTTCTCCTCAATCTGTTACCTTGCAGCTGAGTGGCAGAGGATGACAGCACATCCGCCTGTGACCAGCAGCAGCAGCCTTAGCAGCAGCCAGCCCAGCATACCGCAGCATGTGAGGAGCCCTCTCAGTGTCCTGTCTCTCCCTGTGCAGCTCAAACATGACGTTTGCGCTGACGCACAGGCAGTGCTGCTGAATAGGCTAGCGTAATTACGGAGCTCTGTCTGTGTCTTAACCAATCTGGATCCCTGCCTCAGAAACCGAGTGTACACGTTTCACACAGACAGAGCATGGTGGGCGGACCAATTAAGTCACTGTAGCACAAACATAATACTCCAGTTGCTCTGTGTTCCTTCTGAAATCTAACAGAGGCCTGAGTTAAAGGTTTCTGACATTTAAACAAGTGATAAGCCATTTCAGGGCATGTTGACACAGAAAGCAACAATTCAACATCAAGTTCTGGGTCACAATATCTCATATGAGGTTCAAAATCATGCAGGTTGTTTAATCCTCTTACCTCAAAGGTTTTTCAGAATGCAATCTACAAACAAAAACATAAATGTCAACAGTTAAAACTGTGGAAATGGCACAAAATTCCTTATAATCAAAAGATACATATGTTCACAAATTATATTTAAAAACACTGCATTAAAATTTGTTTTTTATTTAAAACCCTGTCTTTATCTGATACAATACACAACCAGATATCCATCTATCTGACTGTGTATTTTACTAGGGAATGGATTTTTTCCTGTAGCCATAAAAACTAAAGCTACATCACAGCTATAATCTAATAACCCTGTCTCACTAATGGGATCTTTTTACATCACTGCATCATTATGACTTATAGTACTGATGTGAGCTTTTTTTTCTTTTTTTTTAAACCCAGTCTCATTTGCTTTTTCATTTTATTTGGGTCTGATGTCAGAATTACTTGCTTCTGTTGCATCACAATTTCATGTCAGTTCATCAAAATCTCCTCTTGCTATAAACAGTGGAAAAAATAAAAAAATAAAAATCAAATCACACTCAGTAGCTCACAAATTTTGGCCTGTCTTGCTTCATTAAAGTCATCTACTTTGTAAGTGTTATTGGTTACATCACAGTTACCTGTCTAGCTTTTTTCAGGGCACAATAGTTACATTTTACAGGGAAATAATCTACTCAAATATAACATGCCGTTTTACGTTTTTTTTTTTTTTGTGGTACTAGTTGGAGTAATTGAGCAGCAGGAAAGGGAACAGGGATGGGAATCAAACCCC